CTGCCCACTGCTCCGGGTGTGTGTTCACGGTGTGTGTGTTCACTGCTGTGTGTGTGCACTTTGGATGGGATAAATGCAGAGCACTAATTCCGTGTATGGGTCACCATACTTGGCCACATGTCACTTTCACTTTGTATGTGTGTATTTGGGTCAGTGCCAATGTAATATTATTATTTTACTATTACATTTATTATTATATTTTGAAATAGCTTTTTTAAAAATTTTAGTTTAGTGCTGTCAAACGATTAATCGCGATTAATCGCATCCAAAATAAAAGTTTTTGTTTGCATAACATATGTATGTGTGTACTGTGCATATTTATTATGTATATATAAATACACACACATGCATGTATATATTTAAGAAAAATGTGTTATGTTTATATATTAAATATATTTATATATAATATAAATTATATGAATATAAATATATACATGTAAATATTTTCAAACTTTATACTGCATGTGTGTGTATTTATATATACATAATAAATATACAGAGTGCACACACATACTGTATATTATGTGAACAAAAACTTTTATTTTGGATGCGATTAATCACGATTAATCATTTGACAGCACTATTTTAGTTTAAGTTTTGGTTTTTGCTTTTGTCATTATAATTAGGTTTTTTTAATAATTATTTTTTTATATATTTCTATTTAGTTTAGCTTTTTATTTTTAATGCGGTTTTAAGTAATTGTAATACTTTAGTATTTTTAGTTAGTTGCCAAGGCCACATTTTTAATTTTACGTTTTAATATTCTAATTCTCTAATATTTATCTTTTGTTTTATATTTATTTCTGCTTTAATTTAGTGAACAAAAATGATTTTAGTTAACACTGGTTTGGTTTGTACAGGTGTTGCTGCTCGTGTGGTGGTCAGCACTCACGAAGGTGTTAAATGGTTGGACCTCAGTGGCTCTGAGAAAAGAAACATCACATATAAAAGAGCCTCACCAGGACCTGTTTCTGCCCTTAATGCGAATAACACGTTATACTGGATCATTCCTGAGAATGACATCATCTACAGGTGCAGAGCCATTCAGATTAAATAGAAAATTATACCCATTATTATCATTACTGCCGAAATGCTTAAAAATTCTTCCAACACAAAACGCATTTAATTTAGTTCAATCCTATTCACATATAAATGAGCCTCACCAGGACCTGTTTCTGCACTTAATGCAAATAACACATACTGGATTTGTCTATTTCAGGATGTCTTTAGACTCCAGTGACCTTAGACCAGCTGTGTTGTTAAAGGCCTCCACAGGCATTCTGGGATTAGCGGTAGACTGGATCCGAGAGCTTTTGTACTGGGTCAGCACCAGAACTCATGCTTTACACGTGGCCTCTCTGAATGGCTCCAAACAAAGTGAGCTTATCTCTGGGCTCTCCAGACCTACTGCAGTTGCTGTCCAGCCGCTGCTAGGGTAAAAATACTGTCGTCTTCACTATATACATTTTAGCCACTTAAATTTAAAGTATAATGTGACATTTCTGTGTGAATCATAATGTTCTGCTGGAAATAATGTGGGACAGGACTTTATAAGTTAATTAGAATTTGAGTTATACGGTGGATGGATATTTTTCTTTAAATGTAATTTCAGAGGTGGAAAATTATTATTATTAGCAACTCATTAGAATATTAAACAACGTAATACAATGTAACATTTTCTATAATAAGTGCTAAGATTTTGATGTGTAATAATAATAATTTATTTTAGATTAATGTCATTGTGATGAATTGTGTGCAATAAGAACAAGAACATTTAATCTGGAAAAATATGGCCAATATTGATTTCTTGAATTACATCCTTCAATATTGAAATTAAAATTCTCTCATCATTTACTTACTCTTGTTATGTCACAGATATAAATGACCTTCTTGGAACACAAACTGATTTTCAGAAAAATCACGCATTTCTGTGAGTTCTTATAATGCAAGTTCAAGGGTCCCTCAAAGTTGACACTAAAACTACAATCTACAAGCTTAGCTGATAAATCAATGTCTTTAATGCTTTGAACTTTTTTTTAACTACAAACCATTGCTTTTGTTCTGTTTTGTGTGTGAAAGCACAGAGGACTGTCACTTCTTGCATACGTTTAGCATTATGTCAAACATTCTCACACACATCTAACGTTTTGCTTCAGAAGACATTGATTCATCAGCTGAGGTTATTCTTTTGCGTGGTTTTTGAAGCGTCAATTTTGAGGTACCCATCCAGTTCATTTTACGTATTCACTGAGATGGATTGTTTTTCTAAAAATCTCTGTTTGTGTTCCACAGAAAAAAGAAAGTCATATACATCTGGGTCTGCATGAGGATGAGTAACTGATAAGAGATTTTAATTTTTGGGTGAAGCATGCCTTTAAGGTTGGATAATGTTTGAATAAATTTAGTTAGTTGTCTGAATGAGTTCAAACTCTAAACCCGTTTTTCTTCCCCAGGTATGTGTTCTGGGCAGATAGTGCAGCGTCCCCCAGAATTGAGCGTGCCAGTTTGGATGGGACGAGCAGAATAGAACTGATAACTTCATCTATACGTTATCCTGTCGCGATCTCTTTAGGTTAGACTTCTCATAAGCAATTAAGTTGTGAAATCCAGCTTGCTTTTTTCACTACATCACTTAGTGTATAAAGGTTTTATGCAAATTATACCGAACTCATCCTTAAATTAATGCATGGATCATACACCTTGAAAACAAAGTAAGGAAAAATTAGAAAATAATGCACACCGAGGTGGTGGTGACGCGAAGAGAAGTGGCCGTTATACCTCAGTAGTGCATTATTTTCTAATAATTCAAAGGACCGGAGTCAGTCATTCCACATGTACTACAGTAGCCACTCCTAAAGACATTGTTCAATGTTGTAATTCATGACATTTGTCAGGTTTTTGTCCTTAAAATGCTCTTGCATGTAGGACTAATTTCTTACACATCTCATCCAACGCCTCTGTTGCTAATTCCAACGGAGGCTTGAGCCATTGATAGCAGACGAACTTATTAATAAAGTTATTTAGCGTGTATGAATTACCTGAGTTAAAGGGACTTCGAGTCTCTCTGTCTCTCGGCTGCAGATCTCTACTAATACCGAAACCTAAGTTCATCTGCTCCAACAACAACGCTGTTATTACCTCGCTAGTGAGAAAAGTCATGTAGCTTTTAAGTTGCTAAACTATTTTACTGAGTACTGTATGTGTGTGCATTTGAGTGGGAGAGAGAGCAGGATAAAGAGAGTATGTGCTTTCCATACATAATAAAATATGGAAATAATTAGTATTTTTTTATCCTGTTGGTTACTGAAATCATTTGGCAAAGTGATATGGACATGTAAAGCGGTCAAGACCTGCCTGGAACTACTTTAGCCATGTTTCCAATTATCAAAGTCAATTATGCAAACTTCAGAAATGAGGCAAATCCAGATTCTGCTGGTAACTGCAGCAAGACAATAGTGTCATTATTCAGCTCCAGTCAGTTCAGTGTTGATTTACTGTAGCTGAGTTCAATAACTGTGTTTGTCAAGGTTGGTCACTAAGCAAAGGGGTAAAAAGTTAATAAATAAACCCATTGATATATTTTTTCTTTGCTCATTTAGATATCCCTCGTGGTCTGCTGTACTGGGCTGACTCTGGTCTGCGCATAATATCAAGGGTTGCATTTGATGGGCAACATAGAAAGACAGTTGTAGAGTCCAACGGATATCTAGATCAACCATTTGGACTGGCCGTATTTGAGGTACATAACACAATGCATGTCACTTTTCCTCAATCTATATAATTATTTCCTTACCAATGACCATAGTTTATTTTTATAAAATGTGTATATATATATATACACACACACACTTGTGTCCCAACTTATATACACATATATATATATATATATATATATGCAAGCACTCGTCGGAAATGTAACGCCCCTTACCATAATGGCGAGCTTCATCTTTCAAAATAAATGTAAAGACAGTAAATAATGTCATTAGTTTTACCATCAGTTCAAGCCCGAAAGGGGAACAGAGTCGCGTGACAGACACAGTGATGATGCAGTACACAAGCCGCGGTTAAGACAGCTGACTCTACTGTGATGTGACCCTGTCTCTCTCTCACACACACACGCGCACGCACGCACGCACGCACACACACACACACACACGATGCGCAAAACTCCACATTTGAACAGTAAATAGCAAATACTTAAACTAATAACAAAACAGTAGCTGATTCAGAAGCGCCAGATTGCCATAGCAAAGTCAGAAGAAAGAGTCTTAACTTTGATAAAGAATTTATCTTTGGTTTTGAGACTTTAGTCTTTGCAACTTCAGGGATCTTATCTATGCACAATCAGCTTGTAACACTCCAAAGAGAAAGGAAAACTTGAAATCGCATCATATGACCCCTTTAAATACTATGAATTCAGACATACTGCAGTGTTGGGGCTAAGACATTACAAATAATGTTACGTAATCAGATTACTTTTTTTTCAAGTAACTAGTAAGGTAATCAATTACTTTTTCATTTACAAGCAGTTCTAATCTAATGCGCTGCTGCACTGTAACACACACACAGACAGTAGCGCGTACATCACGCGCACAGAATCATTCAGCGCAGAAATGTATTGTCAACACTGTTCTGTGATTTCTCAATAAAATAGCTTAGAAACGGAAAAGTTCAAGCATATATTTCTTAATAACTAAATTCCACAGCTTCACTACTAGTAGAGAGACGCTGCCAGGTAGAATTAATTCACTCACGCAATCGCTGTCTCACTAATGCATTCATATTAATGTAATCTTTACTGTGCTACTTTATCTGTATCTGATTTAGAATGAGCAGAAATCTGTGAGAAATATAACGACCCAAAGACAAAAGAACTGATAAAAAAGCTGTTATAGGAGCAACAGCCATGTGGGCAGCGCTGTGTCATATGCCATAGCTGTGCACAAGGTGTTTGTCACAGCTCCAGACTTATTTGTTCATTAATGACGTCATCAGCGACTAGTCGACTTCGACTCGACTTTCATCACATAAAAGTCGACTTCAAAAAATCAGAAGTCGTTCAACCCCTAACACACACACACACTTTTGTCCCTTGATAATGTTTAATAATATCCATATTCATATATTAAGCATTTTTATTGATTTATGAAAATATTAATACTATATTATTGATGTTTTAATGTATGTCCCCTGCAGAGTCGAGTGTACTGGAGTGACCAGTTGACCAACTCTATTTGTAGTGCAGACAAGCACAATGGCAACATGCTCCAGGTTTCTCAGAGACTCGGTTCTGTTTCACCAGCTGGACTGGTCATCCTTCACCCACTGTTACAGCCTTCAGGTAGTCAAAAATATTCTCTTACTCAACTTGTTTTTCTTCCATATAGTAACTAACTTTCATTCTTGGTAGAGCGACAAAAGTTAAGCGTGTTAAGTTTCAAAAGGTTCAAAATTCAGTTAAGCTGTAATCAGCTCCACAGAAGACCATTGTGTCTTTACTCAGCTCAGCTCAGTTCATTGTTGGATAAAAGTGTTGATGCTGCAAGATGCAATTCAGCTGTAAAGGAGCTCTACAGAAGACAGAATGTTATTTCCGTAACCTTAAAGACTTCAGCCTCAAGTGACATGTACAGACTTGATCAGTACTGTACAGTTTAAAAACATTCCCGTAGATCAGGAGTTCTCAAAGTCTACATTCAAAGGTCCAAATCTGAATTTTAATCAGTGTCAAAGGTCCGGACCCGAACAATTGGTTATTACAAAATTTGTTTTTAATAAACATACATAACATGCATAACAAATAAAAATTTTTTTTTTTTGTAAAAATAAAGTGCAAAAGTGGCAAAACAATTAATTTACATTTACATTTAGTCATTTTGCCGACGCTTTTATCCAAAGCGACTTACAATTGGGGAATACATAAAGCGATTCTTCTTAAAGAGGCAAACAGACACAGGAAGTGCTTGAAATACCAAGTTTTAGGCATTGTTCAAATAAGTACAAGCTAGGAAAGGGAAGGAATAAATAAATAAAAAAAAATTTTTTTTTTTTTAAGATGAAGTCAAGTAGCGTTTAAAGAGATGAGTTTTCAGCTGTCGCTTGAAAATTGTCAGGGATTCAGCATTCCGGATAGGGGTGGGAAGATCATTCGACCAGCCAGGAACGGTGAACGAGAATGTTCTGGAAAGTGATTTTGAGCCTCTCTGTGATGGTACCACGAGGCGTCGCTCACGGTGGAGTCGCACGGTAGAGTCGATGGTTTACACTCTTCGGTCTTCACACGAGGAGGCCGTCACGCGACGGCTGCCGCGGTAAACTAAGCTTTTTTATACCCCTCTCACAAAATACTAAATTAATTCAGCTGGACACACTTTCCTTATTTTTTCCACAACAAATGGCCAAGCAAGCGCAGACACTGACAAGATACGCGATACAGAACGAGACCAAACGCGATATCAGCACGTCTCCACACAGTAAACAAAACAAGAAATAATTAGTGTTCTTGAAATACGAAATTGGGGCAGGTCTGGACTGAATTCCCTCCGGGTCCGGATCTGGACCGGAGTCCGGACTTTGAGAAGCACTGCCGTAGATGGGATGCATGATTCTACGCAGACGCTACATTCCAAAGAATGTGTGGTTAATTGCATTAGCTATAAAACAGTAACATGATTTCATATTTTTAATCTATGCTGTAATGCATAGAGAGCAAATGAATGTTTTTTCCATTTGACGATGTGTGTGTGTGTGCGCGCGCCCGTGCAACTTGCTGTATGTGGGTTTCTCTCTGAGTCACCCATCTCTTCTCTGACAAACCTCAAATTATTTGCTCGACTAATTTTGGTTAGTGAGCATTTGTGTCTGTGTATATTTGTGGTTCTCAGTTACTGGTATAATTTACTGTTAACTCTTTTGTTGGAGAAGCACCTACCTTGTAAACATGATGTTACTTTTGTCTGTATCTACTAGTTTGTAAATGTAATACTGTAGTTGCTATAAATGGCTTTTTCGGTGGTTTTGTAGTTTAAAGAGTCTGTGTGCGCAGTAACACGCTGCTTCACTGGTGCTGTTCATTTTCACATCTTTTTTTTTTTTTCACATGTTTTGAAAAAAGTGAAAGGTACTTTCCAAGATGGTACATCTGATGTGGGATCACACTTGAGAAATACCACTTTTGCAACGGTTTCTTGTGGGCGTGTAGTTTTGTGCAGTGGTTCTGAACTGGGTTTGCCGTAGGACCCAGGAAGTATGTGAAAAACAAAAACAAATACAAAACTATATTATCCTACAAATGTAAACGAAAATGTCCTTAAAACCAAACACTGAAATATATTAATATTTCATTGAACTACAGGGATCTGAAGTTATTTTTAAAATGTATAGATAAGCTTTTTAAATGACTTAAGACAAGTCTTTGTATTTGCTTTTTCTAACTATATGTATGATTATGTGATTTGTTGCATTTTTCATTTTGCATTTTCAGACAACGATCCATCAAACACTACACTTGCTGTGGAATCACACTTTTCCTGTGAATGCCACGTCTGCTTGTTTTATGCAGTTTCTGCAGTTTCTTGTGGGCGTGTAGTTTTGTTATACTTTGTTTTAGGCCAGGCAGTGGTTCTGACTTGGATTTGCTTCAGAACCAAAAACGGACATGACAAAACAAAAACAAGTAAAAAAAAAAAAAACTGATTACCATACAAAAATAAGCAAAAATGTCCTCAAAAACAAATATTTCATTATAAAACGGATAGTTCCGGCCCTTGATTCTGATTGGTTGAGCCAAGTTCGAAGCTGTTGTAAATTACTCTACAAACATACACCTTTTGTTTACATTTGTGTGTTGATCGGCAACCACTTCGTTGTAACCACAACCGTTTCTGAGGAACTACATTGTTTGGCGGAAGAATAATGCTTTTATTAATATTACACTTTATTTGCTCTGTTCTATTTTGTGAAACCTTACTACGTATATGGAATAACCGTTTTATAAAAGCAATAAGCCCCGTGAAGCTGTGGTTTACAGTGAATTTATAACAGCTAAGGGGGTTTTAGGCACTCCACTTCGCGTCGTGTTCCAAATCCACTATAAACCACGGCTTCTTGGGGCTTATTGCTTTAAAGAACTACAGGGATCCGATAAAATGATTAACATGACAAAGGCTGAACAGGAATATCGATGACAGTATTTAGGTTTCTAATAATCTTCTAATCAACATGATAGCATTTTTCATAAACATGTTATTTCAAATCAGCTTTACAGAAATTCATGTTGATGTTTATAATACCTTAAAGCATTATCGTCCACATTTACAGTAGCAGTTAAGCATGTTGTCTGGCTTTAAATTTGTGCCGCAAGACAGTAGTCAAAAACATATTGGAAGTGTTTCTTAAAAGTTATTTTTGCATTTTCAGGCAATGATCTGCTGCAGTCGGAAACAAGAACACCATTTCCTGATTCACAATTTGCATGGCTCTTCTCACTGACTGGTTAGTCTAACTTCTCTGTTGCAATTCATCTTTTTGAGAAATGTCCTTCTGTGTCCCTTCTTATAGTTCAATTCAATTCAAGTTTATTTGTACAGCGCTTTTCACGATACAAATCATTGCAAAGCAACTTTACAGCAAATTAAGTTTCTACAATATTTAGTGGTAGCTTATCAGTGGTGACTGTCAGTTAATGTACATATGGCAGAAATGTACGGAAAAATCAATTAAAGACGTAATCAAACAGACGATGTTAAGTTTTGCTTGACTCCAAAAGAGTTTATTAGGTCAGTAAAAGCAAGTCCTAATGCATCATTTGTATTATCAACGTGAATGTTAAAATCTCCGACAATTAGCGCTTTATCAACAGTAACCAATAGGTCTGAGAGGAAATCTGCAAATTCTTTTAGGAAATCTGTATATGGCCCTGGTGGTCTATACACAGTAGCCAGAGCAAGAGATACGATAGATTTCTTTTGCATATCTGACAGTGTAACATTAAGCAGAAGTATTTCGAATGAGTTAAACCTGTATCCTGTCTTCTGAGTAACATTGAGAATATCACTATATATTGTTGCAACACCGCCGCCACGACCAGTCTGACGGGGCTCATGCTTATAACAGTAATTGGACTAATGTTCCCTTGATCACCTTTATTTGTTCTTCCTCTGGTAGTCATCATCAGTTTGCTGCTGGTGGGCGCAGTGCTGTGGCGGCAGAGGTCTGAATTCTGTGCTCCTCGTTCTCTTTCTCTTGGAGACGAGACGCTTAAAGAATCCCAGGATCCTCTTCTGTTATCCAGGCTGCCTGTAATACATGAGCGTAAAGGAAGAGCCACGGTATTTTTATAACCTTCACACTCAGATTATTTAAATAGGGCTGTCAGCAGCGTGTCTGGATATTTGTTAACAGTAAATCACTGATCATGTATTTCCAACATATTTTAACTTCTAAGCTAAGAAGGGGGGAACAAGAAGTTTCTGAATTCTACATATAGCCTCTATGGAAACAAATTAATTTTTGAATTTTGTTTGATGGCTGTTACATGTTTGATACTGTTTCATGATTAACTATATGTATCACTGATTTTATTTCTGTTGATTTGTTTATATAATATGCATTAGATTTTCAATAGTAGCCTATCACACACTGTTTTGCATTGTTTTCCTGCTGACATTTTCAAGTGCCTGCTTATTTGCACAGATAATGTGTTGCTTGCGTTTTCAGGATGGCACACAGAATGGTTCAACGCACTGACATGGACAGAGTTTTCCTGTGAGAGGACCTCTACATTTCCTGTGGTGGATATCACATCCCCCATTTCCTGCTGTGTTTGGGAGAGAAACTAAAGTGAAACTAAAGTGAGGCAGGCAGATGGATTCCACACAAACATCCTGCTTGCAGACCCCAAAAATGCGCTTAAATACTTGCCAAATGTCTGTTTATGATTGATAATCACAGAATTAATCAAACAAAGCATTCAAATCAAACTAAGCATTCAGTGGAACATGTTTGTCTTATAAAAATATGCTATTGTCACTGTATCAGACTTTTTAGTCCTTTAACTGAATTGTATCAGTCTGAATGATATCTTTCCGTTTGCATTGGGGATTCCACTGGACACGGAACAGCAAAATGTCACCATAACAGTGTTCTGAGCTTCAGGTCAATAATTAATCAACCATGTTATATGGTACAAACAGTGCTGTGAGTCATTACATGATATTTATCTGTTTCGAGCTTGTTTAAAGGTGCTGTTCTGTTTAGTTCTTACTGCTGTATTTTATGAAGTGATAAATGTCCATTCTTCATTGAATGTGTAGGCGCACAATTTGACCAATCTGTCTTGTCTTTGTATGTGTGTGCATAGAGACAAAATCAGTTTGGAAAATATTTTATTTTGAAATTCACCAGTGCTGTTAATGCTTTAGACTACAGAGATAGTTGTGTTTATTTATGTAAGGAGAGATTTTTCTGAGAGATTGGATCACTTTTCCTGTTCTCTTCAAGTTATAGTGTTAAAACTGTTAATCATTTAGGTGTAAAACAGGTTTTTGCTCTTCCTTCTGATTGTATATAGTTTGAAAAAAATGTGGTTTGAATGCTTTTAATGACTCATGGTAAAGGGAGAAATAAAATATAAGTTGGAAATTGTACTTTTGATACTGTATATTTTCAGCAAGTTTTCTCTCTCTTTTTGTGTACATTTACTGATTCTGTTATTAAAGGAGAAGATGGAAACCTCATCTCTAATTCTATGAGAATAGGGAAGTACAGCTAAAAATACAAGGACAATGAGGAATGATATCTTAAATCACTTTAAGAATGGTTTTGACAGCTACTTAGAATCTCGATTATTTTAAAGAGCTTGTAAAGGAGCAGACGTCAGCAACTGCAGCGTGTGCTTACAATAAACAGAAGGTTAATTGCATGTTGGTATGGACAATAATATAATCACGGCGACCCGAGTTCGATTCCCATCTCAAGGTCATTTGCCGATCGCTTTCCCCTCTCTCCTCCCAGTATTTTCCTGCCGTCTCTACCGTCCTATGTCAATAAAATGCATAAAAGCACATAAAAATTCCCCACTCGGAATTCACAATGGATTCGAGTTTGTTAAACTTTGAGGCTGTTCATTTGTATTACTGACCTATATAATGCTTAATTTGTAAGTGATGAAGCAGGTAGTGCTTCTGCTAGTGACCTGACCGCACCGGTTTTTTGTTTGTTTGTTTTTGTTTTTTTTCAAAGCATGCGCTACATATAGCTACTCTGAAAATGATGTGATTCAAAAATGTTGAAGATTAGCAGAAAGGCAGGCAAATTATTATGTGATGAGTTTTTGGCACACAAAAGCAGTTCATTAGGTGTACTGAAAAATCTTTTGCGACTTTCAGTTCAGTTCAGTTTCCTTTTACTTTTGGGGGAGGGGGTCCATTGCTCCAGTCATTGCACATCCTGTTTTACATCCTCATTTCTATATCTTAAAGCGAACTTTACAGATTTAACCGAGTTCCACGTTACTGGGTCAACATAACATATAGGCCTACTGAGCTAGGAACATTTTTACTCCGTAAAATCACTTTATTGCAGTTTGTTTTACTATCCTTGAGCAAATATGTGTATTTCATAATAGGCTACTGTCAAACAATTTGAATTGTGCCACAGTGTTTGAGGATTTTTATCCTGCAAATGATCATGGGCCATTTACATAACTTTCTTTAATGAAATATACTTTTTGCTTGTATTTCTTGGAACATAGTATCATTCATAATATATTATAGCCTATTTTTTTTTGTTACTATATAAAAATTATTTTGTTACACACACACACACACACAATTCTATTTTATTTATTTATCTTAAGAAAAGTGTGCCTTACTGTGAAACTCAGAATAAATCAATTTGGTTACATTTTAAAGTTTCTACAAATGATTAATCAGTGAGCTGGCTACCCAGCGTCTGTCACAGCGGTAAAGATAGTTTGACGTTTGACATTCATTAGACATTCGGTTTCATACCAATTAAACTCTTTGTGCCTGTTATGTTTTGAGCCCAAACTAACTCCCATAGACATAAATATATGCCCTTTACGTTGCACAAGGCTTAATTTCTAGAAAAAAAATAAAAAATAAATTAACCATATAAATTAATTAAACAATTTAACTACATGACATTATACTATAAAACCAATACTAAAATGTTCAGAAAAACATCACTGTCATTGCACAAGGCTCCGTTTTTGGAATGACCATTTTATGTGTTTTATAATAATTTTACAACTTTTAATGTATGCAATAATATAAATCCATTAAACGACAACACCATTTGATCTAAAGGTATCAAA